TTTTTTCCAGCATGCCACGACCTGACGATCATGTGAAACATTATGTCTAGAATCTAGATATCTAAATGAAACTTCATTTTTCCTTTGTCCATGACAAATTATCCCCAGTATTAGTACCGGTACCGAGTTGGCTACCCCAATTTTCTATGCATTAAAAAAACACGTTGTACATTGGTTTATATTTTGAAAAATGAAACTGGTTTGTTCATATATGGGAAAGTTGTCACAGTAACTTACTGAAATCAGTAACATTTCAGGAACTTTTGTTCTTTTATTCATCGAAGGAGAAATAAAACAGATTTGTTCCTACCAGTACAGGGGTATGAGGCTGAATGTCAATGTGCCACCCTTCCCTCCTTTTATCCCCCCCCCTCCACCTTTAATCGATACGTAAGAGTAACATTCTTGTGTATCGGCAGATGAACTCAGAACTGCGGGAAAGAGAAGGGCGCTGTTATCTGGGGAGAGTTGTCATGCTTGTGATCATTATAGTGCGGTCTAAAGTTCAGGGCGCAACTTGTTGTCAAATAAGTCTTTAACTCTCGAACATACGTTCTCCAACTTTTACACAATGACTTATATCAATTTGTCTTAGCTAGTGAATATTTATTCAAACATCTGAACATTATTCTAGAAAAGACCTTAATCAATAGTAATTTTTAAAAATCCCAGTCAATGGTCTCTGCAGATTTTTTAAAAAGTTTACAGGTCGGGCAATATCGCTTTTAAAAGCAATTCCGTCATTTCTTATCTAATCGCAACTTTATGCTTATTGAACGCATAATTGAGAATCTTTAGAGCAAAATGTGTTCACTATAAGAATGATTTCTTGTAACAAGTTTTGCAACTAAAAGTGTTATTGGTGAGTTGTGACGTAGGCCATAATATGTAAAATGTGTGTGAGAAGCTGGAAGTTATATGGACAATTCCATTCTCTTCCTCTTTGGAGGTTAAAGCTCACCATCCGTTCATGATTTGCGAACTCTTGTTGTTGTTGTTGTTGTTGTTGTTGTAGTTGTTGTTGTTCTTTTTCTTCTTCTTCTTCTTCTTCTTCTTCTTCTTCTTCTTCTTCTTCTTCTTCTT